CAAACTCATCCATCTCTCTCCTCCTTCAGTGAGCTGTTCATCATGAGGAGCAGCTCCTCTGTATCTTTGTTTATGTGACTATATTTACTCAATTTTACCTTTTCTCGGAAATCATTTTCATTTGAGATTTTTATGTTTTTAAAAATGCACGCACGCACACACACACACACACACTTAGCTGATGCTTATATCCAAATTAAAAGTTGATTTAACAGGGATGGACCCTCAATGGATAACAAAGGGATTAAGAGCCTCATTTAAAGGCCTGATGTTTGCACTCTCTATGCCTCAGCTAAGCCCCACAGCCGCCAGGTTTAGGACTATCATAGGCTATAGACTCGCTCATCTCACCCTGGCCACATTTTAAGATGTTATGCTCACACATTCTGATCAAACATTAAAGACTACTGAACTGATATATATCCAATTACTGTTTATTCCCACTCACCCATTCAAAAAACATGGACCAGTAATTTGTTTTCGCTTGAGTGAAGCGCAACAGGACAGTTCATGAGGAATGTACACTTTTAAATGAGTTTGTCCATTTTTCTGGGAGGGCAGAACCCTGATAAATCCCAGTTCACCCGGATCTAATCAAACCATACGACAGGATAGAGGACAATTCTGTTCCACATGACCGGCACTGGTGGGTTTTATGGATCATTTGTGGTTAGCGGATACTTGAGCCAAGGAATACCAGATTAATTTTATATCCTTTTTAAACATTGTAATGAACCAATTAAAGGCTATAGGCCTATTGAAGTTAAATAGAAGCTGGCAGACCATCACAGCTTGAATTCACTGATGAAGTGAGGCTGTGTGAATGAATTTGGATGAGAAAAGACAGTTTTGCACAAAAAGAAAAACAGGAGGGGAAATATAAGCCAAGCATTAGTTGACACATAATGTGCACTGTGCCACAGTTTGTGCTCATTTATTCAATATATTCAGGACCAGAATGTCATTACCTCTTAATGTGCGAACAGTGAAAACAAAAGCCAGCAATTCTGCACTACTTACCTGATACCAGAGGGAGGCGCTCACTGGGCCTGCTCCCCCATGCACCATCAGGTCCATATTAATCTATTCTATGAGTTATAAAAAAACTTTGATTCTCATAAATGATACCAAGGCTTATAATCTCTGAAAATATGCCTGTGTATAAATTTGGCTGACAAGAGATAGAAACACAACTCATGCGCAGATGAAGATCCAGTTCAGATTTATTGAAAATCTTCGTTAGGTAATCCAGGTCAAAACCAAAGAGTGAGACATCGAAACAGAGGGGGTAAACCAGAATTGTAATCAGGAAACAGTCCAAAAGTCAGATCCTGGAAGTCAGTACGCCAAAGCCAAATCACAAGAGAATCTCAAGACCAAAAAGCCAAAACAGAAATCAATAACGGATAGTCAATCGTACACAGAGGACTGGACAGAGTCATAAATCAGGAAAAAAAACTAAATGGTAAACAAGACCTCTCAGAAAATAACCTGCTCATATGCTAGACACTGGGGAAACAGGCTAAGACAAACGCGCAATCTGGAATGGGGAGTGAGAGCTATATAAAAGGGAACTGAGTGACTAATTAAATAGGCAACAGTTGTAAAGGGGAGCTGAACAGGGAGATGTGGTTACAAATGTTGAAACAATACAATGGACTGCTAAAACTAAACAATGCAACAAGGAAAATAATAAACACAATGACATGATACACAACTTGACATGTTCAGACCCGACATTGGCCACGAGAAGTACCTTGGCACACAAGTACTTAGGCATTTATCTCGTAGCTCAGAAGGGATTTTTAAACATCTCGAATACAATACAACTTTTCATCCAAGCTGTCATTTTTAATTTGCATTTTAATGTATTTTTTTTATTTTGTGTCCTAAGTGTGGCAGTTTCCCCTGCCACTGGCAACACACCACAGCAGTACACCACACCATCACTCATTCCACATGCCACATGTTAGCCAGGTAGCATGCTACTGATAGTTTGGTGCAGTGGTTCTCAACTCCAGTCCTGGGGACCCACAGCACTATAAATTTGTGTTCCAGCTCAGCAGTGGGATCATTCACTTAATCAGCTAATACTAACTGTCAGTCTCTTAGTTGATTGAATCAGGTGTCCCCAATAAAGAAACTCTGCCTTCAGGCGTTAAACTTTCTGATTAAGAACAGCATTTTATGATGACCTAACCTTAAGCAAACTAAGTAGAACAAGTTGCAATAAAAGTAAAAAGAAAACTAACTTCACCATGTGGGTCATTTTTTATTTCATGAAGTACCCTAATCCATTAAATCTAGAGGCTAGAATTAAAAATAAGAATAAAATATTTTATATTTGGTCCCCTATGCTTGAGATAATCATGAGAATCTATTTTTAAATGAAGAATTATCGCTGTGACATCAAATTTCAATTTTGTCAACCTGCAAATCCTCTTTAATGGTGTTTCTTAACTCAAAAAGTAGCCAAAGTATCATGTATGATTTTACTAGCCCTGGTTTACCACACCTATTTCAACTTAACAAGAGACTGATGATTAGGATTTGATTGACTGAATCATGCCATTGCAGAGCTGGCAGACAAATGTGTGGGGCAGTTGGTCCCCAGGACTGGAGTTGAGAAACACTGGTTTGGTGGGTGCACAAACTGAGCTACATTTAACAACCAAGCTATGTTTTCTGTGCTATTTTCCCCATAAAGTTTACCCGAAACACACACAAACGCATTAGTAAGGTTTTGAGTTAACTCTTTATTATTTAAAGATCGCAGATCACGTATTTTGAGTTATGTTTGTATTTAATTATGTTTCTCTTTCGTACCACAGTGCTTCCTGGTTCTGGGCAGTGACAAAGGACCCGAGCATAGTTTCAGGCAGTCTTTTATAGTGCCTGAGTAACGAGTAGGGAGCATGCTCCGTCCACTCATGCTGCACCATACCAGCTAATGGGAGTATTAAAGTGGGGTTGTAACTTCTACATGGAATAATGTTGATGTGATGACTGCTTTAATGTGGTAAAAACATGTGTATATAGTCTTGGAAATGTTTTCTAGTTTGAAAATAACCTTTGTGGTTGAACTGATTAAATTGATTCAATTAAAGATGGTATGGTCCAGTGGGAGGGGCCTAGTCTTTAAATGGAGGAGATCTACACTGCCTAGTCAGTCAGTGAAGGGCTGTGCAGACATAATGGTGTTTCTGGCCAGTGCTTTGTAAATATTTTTCAGCTGCATTTTTGCATTATTTTCTCACACCTCCCTGGACGGTAATAAAATACTTCCTTTTTTTGCATCAAATGGATTTTATCTTGCTACTTTTTTTTTCATTTTTGAGGTTAAACTGCACCTTTTTCAGTCAGCCTTTCAGCAAACTACCCTCACTCAAGGTCAGAGTGTGACACTAAGTATTAAGTAAGTACTCCCACACCTGTCAAAGAAAACACAACCCCTCAAAATATTGTACATTAACCTTCTATGCCATCTATCCCTTTGAAGAATAGAACTGCGAGGGTTAGGCAATTAATGGTTCGGTCGATCAGACAGAAATTATTTGCTAACTATTTTGATAATTGATCAATGATTTCAGTCATTTTTAAAGGAAAAATGTCAAACATTAGCTGGCTCCAGCTTTTTAAATATAAGGATGTGCTGCTTTTCTTTGTCAGGTATGATGTAAAGTGGAGAGTCTTTGGGTTTTGGACTGTTGGTTGGATGAAAGAAGCTATTTGAAGATGCCGATTTGGGCTCTGAGAAATTGTGATGAGTATTTTTCACAATTTTCTTGACATTTTCTGGACTAAGCAATTAATCGTGTTAAATGATAAAAGATCAATCAATAATGAAAATAAACATGAGTTGCAGCCCTACAGCACAGGTGGACTGACCAGAGAAAAATAATTTTACGTAATAAGGGTCGTTTACAATTATCTAGTCACATACTAAAATATTCAAATACAAAAACTCATGATATAAAAAAAATTTACAATCGAAATCTAAATTGGAGTCCAATATCAGTTTCTTTCTGCTGGTCACAAAGTTGAGATACATGTCTCAGTCAGATTTTTCTGCTTTTCTCTTAAAAATATGGTTTTGTTTGAGGCCATCCATCAGCACCGAGTTGTGCTTTCTAGTTCCAGGCTGTTTCCTGTCAGGGCTGACGGCCTCTTACTGAGGAAATATTGGTGAGGCAGAGGCAGACATCTCATGGACTGTTTTAAAGTAAAGCCTGATTGTCACTGAAAGATGCACTGCCTGACGTGTAGAATACTAAGACTGAAATCGAACTAGGTAGTGCTTCCAAAACTTTTATTCTGAAACTCTCACATACCCAACTTCATTCCCTGGAAGACCAAACTGTAACAACATTGACATGTTTACACCCACAGAATGTGAGGAGCATTAAGCTTTACCAATAAAAATGGATGTATTCTAGCGACTCTCATGATTTTCCGTGGAATGACTCTAACTGACATCTTTTCATGAAATAATTTCTCGGAAAAAAAAAAAAAAGAAAGCTGGCTAGAAAAGTTTGACCATGGCAAAAATAATAGCAGGCAAATATTTCCATATTATCTTTCAAACTTCATCAGACTTATCTGAAACACTGCCAACCACAGCATTCATTAAGAAAGGCATTGTAAATTACAGGCACTTTAGCAATGAAAAGTTCACCATTCAGTTCTAACTCAGGCAACTCTATTTTGCTGAATTTTCCATTGTTGTGTGAATTGCATCCTTTCTTTTTCTGGGGTGGTAAAAAAATAACTGTTTGAGTACTTGCTTTTCCAGCTACTCATTTCCAAACAAAGCTGCACTCAGAGTGAGATATACACACATTTTTCCATGTTGAACAGCACTTTTTCATAAGCCATCATTATAACAAAGCGCAATACTGAGAAATCGGTTCACGTAATTACATAGTGTGACAGTTGAAGGGTCCTGTCACTAGTAATGCCTCCTAATAAGTATGCGCCCTGGCAACCTTGCCAATGAGCCTGGCTCTTTGGCAATGTGGGCAGCGCGTATGACTCTTACCCAGAAGTCTGGGGTTCAATCCCCCGCCAAGGCCCTCCTTCGCCTGTCACAATTGCAGTTTACTTAGCTCACATTCTTAGAGGACCACTCGTGCCGAAATACTTTCCCTCAAGCCTGAGGAAAGTCAATGGGTGGCCTCACAGTGCACTTAGTTCATTTTACAGTCTACGGCTGAAACACAGAGGGGAATAGTCGCATGTCTCCTCAAACCACACAAGCTTAGCTGAGGTGAGAGTTCTGTTGGCCATGTTTATTTCAGCTTCCTGTGTACAAGCCAGCACCAAAGATTATTCTGAGGGTACAGATGTGCACAACCAGATATGATTGCCTGAAGCCTGAGAATTATGAATTTATTATTAATCTACGTTAAAATGGCAAGAAAACTAGTTATTGGAAATATGAGAAATAAACCACGGAGACGTGATCTTTTTCCACTGCCATGCATTCTAATCAACTCTACCCTGTTGAGAAACGTCTCTGGAAAAGGGCAGAATCGCTCCTCATTGGAAAGATGCTGGGTGCTTTTGTGCCTCTCGCAACAATATGAAATATTCCAGAAATAACAACTCGACACTTTGCATCACAGACATGAAATACTGCAAAACAAACAATGCAATAAATTCAGAAATATACAACTAAAATATTCTTCTTTTCAGTTTTAATGGAAGACTTGACGGTAAATCTACGAAGAGCACTCTTGCCATCTTTTGTTTCTCAAGTCAAGGAGTTATATTGCCAAACATGACAGTGCAATTGGACTCCGTGATTTAGGGGTGAAAGAATACTGCATTGTAAACCCAAGCTCTGCTCTGCCCTCAAGCTTTACTCTCAAGCTATATAATATGAAAACTGCCAAAATTTTTGACAGCGTGCAGCTCAGCCTATAATGACTGGAAGATATGCCATCTATGGGCTTATTACAATATGAAAATTCATTTTCTACAAGCAGTTGAACACTTTGAGGGGGAATTTTGGAATATTTCTTCAGAATTTTAGGTCATACTCCAGACATTTACTGGAAAACATCAGATTGTTCACTGAAGAAAATTCTCATCACACATTTGTGAGCTTGGTCTGCAAAAGATTACCATTAGAAAGCACATCTAAGCACCAGATTCCCCTCTGAAGCATTTCTAGATTTCCTATGAGGGAATGGCTGCTGGGCTCAGTGAACATTACTGATATTGTAGTTTGGGTAAGGGTTAGGGTTTTTTTTTTTTTTAATATTTCTCTTAAGGAAATGATGTTGGCGGGCGATATAATGTTGTATATACGTGTGTGAATATGTGTCCCAGTGTGTAGTAAATGCAGAAGACCAGATAAGACACCGAATGGAGACAGAGGGTTGCAGTCCTTGTATATCAGTTCAAAGGTGTCTCCAGTGGAGTGTATGAGCGCGCATTCATATGGCGCAACGTTTAAGGGGGGAGCGACGCAGTGTGAGGGGACATAGAGGGCAGAGGGACAAAAGGAGAAGCCGGAAGAGGATGCGACACGGACCAAAAGAAGTCACGTCCATGATTCAGTCCCCATGGTGCAAACATCTGAAGGGCTACAATCCACCTCATCTCCGCCCGCTTCCTCTGGAGCACATTCCACGACTGGGAGGATTCAACGCCTGCAAAAAGAAAATCTTTGCACGCCCCCCCTCCCCCGAAAATGTTCATAAAGGACCGTGGAGAGATCTTGTTTAATAATGTGATACAAATGTTGATTAATACGTGCATGTAAGGGCTGGCTCGTCTCCCCAATATACAGACACTTGCATGTTTTGCACTAAAGACAGTACACCAAATTGCTTGATTCTAGGGTAAAATTCCCTGTGACCAGAAGGCCAAGACCAGTGTGTGCGTTGTGTAAATATTTGAGCTGATGAAAAGCTAACTGTAAGGCCCTGTGTGCTCTGGGGGTCTTTTTATCTGTCCTTAGTTTAGCATGGACCAGTATATCTTGGAGGTTTTTATTCCTCCGGAGGGCAGTAATTAACCGGTACTCTGCTAACTGTGGGCAATCAAGTTGAGCTTGGTGGAAATGCTGGACGATGTCTTGTCTGAGACGCATGCTGTTCTCCGAAAAGGTCATCACCAACAGGATGAGTTTTTCGGACGACTCATTACCGCCCCTGTACTGGCCTGACCGTCCTGCAAACAATTGACGGACCTCAGTTTTGATTGACCTCAAGAAGCGCTCAGAGTAGCCCCTCGGTTTAAGAGCTTGAAACAGGGTGCGTTTAGCCTCATCTACATGCTGTGGATATGTACAGATTCTGTGAAACCGTATGAGCTGTGATTTAATAATCCCTCTGAATGTGTGCTTGGGGTGAAAGCTAGACTTGTACAGTAGAGCATGACGGTCTGTATCCTTAAAATTAACCTTAGTGGCCAAGTTCAACTGGTCATCTGTCTGACACCACTCAGTAAAGAAAACCACCGTGTCGAGAAACTCGACTTTTTCTCTCTATAAGTTATGTTTGAGTTTGATTTTTGAATGGTGACCGTTGAGTGTACGTACAAAGTCAAAGAACTCAGTTTCTGTATCACACCACACACCAAACAAATCGTCCAGATAGCGCAAGTATAAGTGCAGTGTTTTTGTACACTTTCGAAATGCGCTTTCCTCCCACAGGGCCAAATAAATGTCTGCGTATGCTGGCGAATATTTGCGTCCCATAGCACAACCACAAACTTGCAAAAAATGTTTACCGTTAAATTCAAAGTTGTTGCGGTTTAGTGTTAGCCTTAAGAGTTGTAAAAGATGAGGATCTGGTCTATGGGGCTCTGGGTACCGCCAAAAGATTTCAGCTACCGCCTCACACCCCAGATCTGTGTCTATGTTCGTATATAGTGAATCGACATCTATGGTGAATTAAAAACTGCCCATGGGAAAAGAAAGGGATTTGAGAGTCTGAACAAAGGTGTACGTGTCTTTGACATTACTGGGGTGTCTGTATGCCACAGGGTTAAGATAATGGTCAATGTATTCCACTATCCTATACAATTCAGAGCCACAGTCGCTCACTATGGGCCTGCCCAATGGGCTAAGATATGGGACTGGCCAAGTATCAGGGGCCTTGTGAATTTTTGGCAATAAATAAAACTCTCTGGTACGTGGCTTGTCTGGGCCATAGAGACATGCTCTCTATTTTTTGCTCAAATAGCCTGCCTTAAACAGAATATCAACACAGTCCCTCACAATTTTTTGTGTTTCGAGTTGTAACGAATGGTCAAGGGGACGATAATATGTAGAATCATTCAATTGCATGTATGCCTCCATGAGATAATTTGCTCTGTCATGCAATACAATCTGACCACCTTTATCAGCGGGCTTAATCACAACGTGAATTCTTGGCCAAGTCTACCTACGCCCTTCTTTGGGCTCGAGTGATGTTCTTTCTTCTCTCAGGTATATAGCTGAACGATCGGAGTGTCTCCCAATCCTCCTGAATAAGGCGGTAGAGATGGGCGGGGGCTCTCGCTCACCCAGTTCCCAGCCCGAAGGCTCACAAATGGGAAGGGGAGTATAAGACGTGTCGTATTGGAAGTGTTCCAATATTTTCAGCCATCTGTGATAAAAATGCACATCACACCTCATCTGTTGCATGTCAAACCTGCCCAGAGTAGGGATAAAAGTGAGACCGCGCTCCAAGAGCTGTCTATGAGCGTCCAATAGCCTGAAGTAAGAGCACAAGTTCATAATGTTTGAGAGAAGGGGCTGGACGCAAGGGTCCTCCGCCCCACTCAGCAGTTTAACTCATTGAGCCAATTGTTAAAGATGCATTGGGCCGTTGGCACTGTCCAATGAATGGGGTCAGATTTTGGAGTTTCAAAAAGCAGAGCATTTATCTCAGGGAGGAACTGACATTCCTTAAGTACAATGGCATTAAAGTGTTTGATAGCCTCTCGCTGGGCTTGTACTGGGAAGGGATGAGCATGTAACAAGGGCACAAAAACTTGAGCAGTCTCAAATTTAGCCGCGGCGGCTCGCACTGATCGTTTAAGGTTCTTCTGTAGGGTGGTCTCCATGTTAGCATTAGCACAGTTAACAATTCCTACAGACAGAACCACCGTATTAGGAGAGATCAGTGGCTTCCGCATCTTCTCCAACAGCTCAGCCCTGTGTAAAAGGTTAGCTCCAGGGAAGCTATCTACCTGCACATTAGTCTTCTGGAAACGAGGGATCCTCAAAAGTTTCGAGTCACCCAGGAAGACAACTGGTTTACGAAGACGTACCTGCCAAGTAGTACTTTTGTTTTGTTTTGTTTTGTTTTACCATGGCATGTCTTATGGGCTCCCAATAGTTGGGGTCATGCCCAAAAAGCAGTTTCTGACTACGTGGCGATAACTTTTTTCCCTTCCTAATACCGGAGGTACGGCTGCAAGGGGTCTGGTCACCACAAGAGACAGAGCAGCTATAAGAGGACTGTTCACTACTGAGTGTGGAGCGACTGCGGTTTCGATAACTGAAGCGGAAGGGAAGGGCACGGGCCCGGGGGCCGCGGAGTACACCGAAATGGAGCTGAGCAGTGGGCTCTTAATTGTACTGCGTGCACAGGGACTAAGGGCCCGGGGAGTTGAAGATGCTGGAGGAGGTCGACTACCCTCCGACTGGCCTAGTAACCGAGCCTGGATCGAGACTGAGTTGCGGGGCAAAGTTTGTGGCCAACTACAATCCAGGGAGGAGTCCGATTTAAGGGTTTTTACTGGAGGAGGGGTACGAGACCCCTTAGACACCTGGTGAGTGAGGGCGGACGGACGAGGAGAGTGGAAGGGGCCAACAGTCAGAGCTATGGAAGAACTAGGATGAGGAGAGTGAACGGGGCCAACCGTCAGCGCTATGGGAGGACCAGCGGTAGGGAAAATGGATAGTGTTGGGTGTTTAAACATGCTGCTAATATTTGGGCAGGAGGGTTTGGAAGGGCCATCAATGCGGGGGTTAAATGAATCAGTAATATGGGTAATAGATGGTCGTGGTTGTTTAGATATAGAGTGAGGTGGTTGATGCTTCCCAGCGCGAGAGATATCGGTCGGGCTGGCATC